TCTTCTAAAGGAAGGGAAGGATCACTGGGTTGATGACACCAATCTCGATATAACACGCATCATTCCTCGGTTACAGAAATCGGCAGCACACAGCCCGTCTAAGAGGAATGGCAAAATCCAAGCAAAGAAACGCATCGGTTAATTCTTTTGAAAAATAAATCAAATAGAATTAGGTTTTAGTACAGGTGTACTGAACATGGTACGGGCGCTTTGTTTTTTCTGAAGTTTATATGTTTTTTTTTTTTGTTTGTTTGTTTTTTCAATAAACAGAGAATAAAGTGTGCTATGTCGGGCGTAGTGACCAGTCGGGTCGTTACAGTTTTCAATATTAATCACATCACCAGAATAATGATCATTTTTATTTCTAAATTAATTTTTAATATTTACAAAAGAAATCATTGTGATTAAAATAAATTTATATCATATAAGTTAACTATTATTAAAATAAAATAAATTTACATGATAAAAAATATTTATTTATTATTAATTTTAATTATAATACTTTTTGTATGTAAAAAAAATGAATATTTATTTTTTATGACGACCCAATCGTTGATGACGATCCAAATATTAAACCCCAATCACTGAATTCACACGTAATGACTGAATTGGCTTGTTTGGTAACACCAAACTGACGTTTTCAACAGTTAATATGTAAAATATATCAAATTATCTATTTGGAATTCATCTTTAGTAGTATTTCACTTGATGAGGCTGCATCAGAGGTTTAAAATTATCAATGATAGTAAACTGGCTGTAGTATGTAAAGTAACCATGTAGATCGTTATGATGTTATCAAACAACTGACACCGGGATCAAAATCGCCGTGTATGGTGTCAACAGTCACACACACTAGTTCCAAATACCAATACACAACCAAAATGGCTTCTAAGACATTGATGGAATAATAATAATAATCCTACTCAGATAAAGTCGATTTCAGCTCTCCATTATTTCGCAGCTCCATCACAATATCGTGACCACCAATCAGCTCACTTTTGTAGTAGAGCTGGGGATAGGTTGGCCAGTTTGAGTATACCTTCAATCCCTGTCTCACCTCATCATCACTCAATATATCAAAGGACTCAAAACTCAAGCCTTCCTGTCTAAGGGCATCAGCAACTCTGGAACTAAAACCGCATCTTGGTGCATCTGGGGTGCCCTTCATGAAGAGCATCACAGGGGCAGCTGCAATCAATTTTTTCAGACGATCTTGAAGGGTTTCTGCAGGAAGAATCCCTTTCTCGTGTAAAATCTTCTTAAGTTCCCCGCTTTTTTGTATCTCCAACACAATGTCTGATCCCCCAATAAGCTCTCCCTTGATATACAGTTGAGGATAACTTGACCAGTTTGAATAAACCTTGAGCCCTTGACGGACTTCTTCATCAGTAAGAATGTCAAAACTCTCGAAGTGCACATTCTCTTGCTGGAGAATGTCAACCACCTTCCTACTGAAACCACACTTGGGTTCATCTGGTTTTCCCTTCATAAACAGCATAACTGGGCTAGAATTTATCAGGCTTTCCAGACGAGAGGATAAGGCTGTGCTCAAATCAGTGGATTTAGAGATGCCACCTTTAGCATCTCCCGATTCTTTTTCTTTTGCTGCATCAATGGTATCAATTCCATGATCTTTAAAAACTTCTTGCAATTCTCCACTCTCGTGCATTGCAAGTGTTATGTCACACCCACCCAGAAGTTCTCCTTTACAGAAGAGCTGAGGAAATGTGGGCCAGTTGGAAAACTTCTTCAAGCCTTCACGAATGTCTGAATCTGACAGGATGTTAAAACTTCCAAACTTGACCTTTTCTTCCTTCAACACATCAACAACTTTTCTGCTAAATCCACATTTTGGCTCTTCAGGAGTTCCTTTCATGAAAAGCATAACAGGATGAGAGTCAACAAGCTGCTGCAATCTATTTTTCAGAGGAGCACTAAGCCCTGGTTGTACTTGACTTTTCTCCTTTGAAGAATCATCTTTTGCTAATTCTCTCACCGTTTCGAGAACAGCGGGTCCTGCAGCCATCCCAAGACTAGCAGGAGATGCAGCTTCTCCAGTGTTGATTGAGCCTGCTACTTTAGCAACCTTATTGGCTAAGCTTGATGGATCAGCTCCTTCCAATGTATCAAAGGTCTTGCCATCCTGACAAAAAAAAAAATGACTTCTAATCAACTAATAAAATCAAGCAAAGAAGGTAACATGTGATTTTTTTATCCAAATGACAGGTTGACTCATCAGAGAATTATAATTGCAGTAAAACTAAGGTACTCACTTGTCTACATGGGACCATGTTGATTAAAAGGACATGAAAAATATTCAAAACTAGGTCTTAAGTCTTAACAATAAACCTGCAAAGCTTAGATAGACAACAAAATACTAAATCATAAATCCAATTTCTGTTTAGTAATTACATGAAACTTTCTAAACTGTACACAAAGTTTCCTAAGATCAATGCAGCAACGATTATGTGCGGCAAATGACCATGCGCAAGTATCTTTAACATAAACAAACCCCTTTGATAGAAGAAATGCTTGGGATGTAACCCAAGAACAGTAAGAGGATCTAAGTGAAAGCAGGGTTGTACTTCCCATTGTTCCCAACATCAAAAGACCAAAAAGGTTTAAAGCTAATCATCTACCTTTCTGCTGACTTCTGTACAGCTGAGATACTCTCCCTTAACAATGAGTATAGTGTTTAAACTAAAGAGACCATTTGAATGACAGAGCCGCTGTTCCCTTTTCATTTTATGAATTTTTTTATATTAAAAACTAACGAGTATTTAGCAGTCAAAGTCACTGAAGGGATTCACTCTAGGTAATCAAGTCAGAAAATAAAATATACTCCTCTAAATAATTAGCATCACATTCTGTTTGATACAGAAACGATTCACCATGAGAAATGCTAAGAAGTAAGAACGCACACCCTCTAATTAGTTTAAAGGTCTCACCCCATTAAACGAGTCTCTCATAATTTCGCAATTTTCAATGAATTTTAACAAATAGAGTATGTTAAAGAGGAGCGTGTTTCTTCCACTTGTTTAGAAAGCATTCATTTTGAACACTGATTTTAATCAGTAATTAACACTACCTAAGCAGAGAATAACAACATAATAGTACTAAACAAGGAAGAGTGAAAGAAGGATACCTTGCAGAAGGCGAAGAAAGGAACAGCAGAGACGGAATAAGCCTCGGAAATCTCGGGTTGCTCTTCGGCTTCAACCTAGAAAACAGGATAAACATGTGATAAAAGCAAAGCAAAGCAAAGCGCAAAAGATGAAGAAAAGAAGATGAGAGAAAGAAGGGGAACCCTTAAGAAGTGTGCGTTGGGGAAATCAGTGGACAAGTGAGAGAAGAGTTGGTCCATGTGCTTGGAAGCTTCACACCAGGAGGCCCAGAAGTGGAGGATAACCGGAGAACCGCCACCCACCACCGCATCAACCTCGCCCTTCGACTTCACGTCTCTCACTGATCCACCCATTCTGCTTCCAAACCCTAACCCTAACCCTTTCTCTCTCTTTCTCTCTTAATATTCTGCCCTTTGCTCATCACAATTCCACATCCCCACACAATCCAAACTCTGCATAATAAGCCCACTCCCTCAGGCCCAACAACTTTTTTTAATTTTTTTTTATAATTTATAATATATTACACTATCTTACAAATTCGCCAACACGACGCCGTTGAGGGGTCCACGTTTACGATAGCGGAGATAAACCCAATCCCCAATGGCATAACACAACATAACATAACCAACGAGTGGTAGACTCAGAAACAAACCGCCATTAACTCACCGATGCAACTCAGCGGCAACGTGTTCATTCCGGCGAATAAACCCCTCAAAGCGTTGTTCAAGTTCAAACCCCGATTCTGCTCCAAACCTGACTCGCCCGAGTCCAACTCGCTCCAAGCCGAGACCCTCAAGACACTGGAATGGAGCTCCGTGTGCAAGCAGCTCTCGGCGTTCACCTCCACCTCCATGGGCTCCGCCGCCGCCCTCAACGCCCGCCTTCCCGTTGGCCGCACCCGCCGCGAGAGTCAGAGGCTTCTCGATCAGACCTCCGCCGCCAGACTCGTCGCCGAGCCCCTCGACTTCTCCGGCATCCACGACTTGACGGAGATTCTCGACGTCGCCACTTCCGGCCACTTGCTAACCGCCCGAGAGCTTTGCACCGTTCGCCGCACGCTCTCCGCCGCCAGAGATTTGTTCCATAATTTGAAACGCTACGCTTCCGCTTCTAATCATCCACATAGGTATACAAATAATACGACTATTTTTTATTTTTTTCCTTTTCATCTTATTTTTAGTGAAATTGTTTGGTTTCAACTGCAAGAAACATACGTTGAATCGGAGTCAAAATTTTATTAGTTTAACAGTGTAACGATTCAAGTCAGCACGTAATTAAAAAAAAACAAGAGTTAGAATTCCTGAACAACAGTTGCAATGGTTAGTCTTTGATAATTCAACAATTCGTGATTGGATGATAGTGTGAAGAAGTTTTGTGTTAAAAGTAAATTCAGATTATATGTCATTCATTACTTGGATTGGCATTCTAGAGTATTTGAATGACTCTCATTCATGCTCTTGTATCTATTTTTGAGTCGGTCAAAGGGTTGGTTTTTAGTCTGATTGAGTTTACGAGCCGCTTCTTTTATGCATTTTGGCTAGGTATTGTATTTTTCTTCACAAAGTTTGGAGCATAGATCATATGATAATGGATTCTCATGTCTCAATAAGGCCTAAAAAGAAAGTTTATCTCAGAGTCAAAGGTAATGACTGACATTCAAGGTGTAATACTCTAATTGCACTTGCTTTTTTAGGCATAATTGCTTCCTACCAGAAATCCCAAGATTAATCTTCAGAACTGTTAACTTTATTGATGCAATTGTTTCCCGTCAGGTACTTACCCCTACTTGAAATACTGCAAAATTGCAATTTCCAAGTGGGCTTGGAGCGTAAAATAGAATTTTGCATAGATTGCAATCTTTCAATAATTCTTGATAGAGCAAGTGAAGACCTGGAGATCATCAGATCGGAAAGAAAGAGGAACATAGAAATTTTGGATTCTATGTTGAAGGAAGTATCATCCCAAATTTTTCAGGCTGGGGGGATTGACAGACCATTAATAACTAAGCGTCGATCTAGAATGTGTGTGGGCATTAGGGCTTCGCATAGGTATTTGCTTCCAGATGGTGTAGTTCTGAATGTCAGCAGCTCTGGAGCAACTTACTTTATGGAACCCAAAGATGCAATAGATCTGAACAACTTGGAAGTTAGGCTTTCAAGCTCTGAGAAGGCTGAGGAAAGTGCAATTTTGAGTATGCTTGCGTCTGAAATAGCGAATTCAAAATCAGATATAAATCATTTATTGGATAAAATTCTTGAAGTTGATCTTGCTTTCGCAAGAGCTGCGTATGCTCAATGGATGAATGGGGTATGTCCCATTTTCACCTTAGGTAATTTTGAAGGCTTTGATTCTGATGATGAAGACAATGATATGGCCGCACTAGATGATGACGATGTAACAGTTAATATTGTTGGTATACGACATCCATTACTCCTGGAGTCCTCTCTTGAGAACATTTCAGATAATCTTGCTCTAAGGTCTGGAGGTAGTGCTGAATTTGGTAATGAGAATGGAGCAATGGCTTCTAAATATATGTCACGAGGCATATCAGACTTCCCTGTGCCAGTTGACTTTAAAATTGGACGTGGAATTAGAGTGGTGGTGATCTCGGGACCTAATACTGGAGGGAAAACTGCTTCCATGAAAACATTGGGCCTGGCATCACTCATGTCAAAGGCTGGAATGCATTTGCCTGCCAAGAACAATCCAAAACTTCCTTGGTTTGACATTATCCTTGCAGATATTGGGGATCACCAGGTAATATGTGAACTTTTTTATGGACGATAAAAGACCTTCTGTTGATCTTGTAATTGTTTCATTTGTTGTCTGATCTTTTTCTTTTCCTCCAAATTGAAGTCCCTCGAACAAAATCTCTCAACTTTTAGTGGGCACATCTCACGTATTTGCAAGATTTTGGAAATGGCCTCAACACAATCACTTGTTCTCATTGATGAAATTGGTAGTGGGACTGATCCTTCAGAAGGGGTTGCTCTTTCTGCCAGTATCTTACAATATCTGAAGGATCATGTTAACGTGGCTGTTGTGACCACTCATTATGCTGATCTAAGTCGTATGAAGGAAAAAGATACCCGTTTTGACAATGCAGCAATGGAATTTTCGCTTAAAACATTACAACCAACATATAGAATTCTCTGGGGATGTACTGGTGATTCAAATGCGTTAAGCATAGCACAATCTATTGGATTTGATAGAAATATAATTGATCATGCACAAAAATGGGTAGAAAAGTTAAAACCAGAACAGCAGCAAGAGCGGAGAGGAATGCTTTATCAGTCATTACAGGAGGAACGAAACCGATTAAAGATTCAGGCTGAAGAGGCTGCATCTATTCATGCAGAAATTATGAGCGTGTACTATGAGGTATAATCTAGATGTATTACTGGGAAGAGATTCTTCGTTTCTTGATTTTAGCTTGTTTATCTTGGTCAACTTAGTATTGTCATCAATAGGGTTCCTTTTCAAATTTATCTCAATTTGCATCCTTAATAAGTTCGGAGTCAGTAAATTGACCAGAAAATCAAAGAGTGATGGGGATTTTGTCCAAGTATGTTGATTAACACAATATGTAGTGCCTTGTAAGTTGAAACCTTTACTAGATATGACCAATCCTAGGGGCATGGCCAACAAACGTTAATTTCAATATTTTTTATTGAGTTACTTTTAGTATATGGCTTTCTGGTTGACTGTATGGGCAATTATAATATTAAAATAAGTACATAGATTTTTCCTTCCAAAATGTTCATATTGCCTTTAGTGCTGGAAATTTTTTGTTCAGCAAAACAATGCTTGGCATTTCCCAGCAGACTTTAATCGAATATCATTATATTTGGAGTTGCTTATATCTTTCCTTTTTATCCTTTTTTTTGTCTAAATCTTGCAAAGATCCAAGGGGAGGCAGAAGATCTTGATAGACGTGAGATGGAACTCATGGCAAAGGAAACACGACAGGTCCAACAAGAGCTAGTGGATGCAAAATCTCAGATGGAAACTGTGATACAGAAATTTGAGAAGCAACTCAAAACTTCTGCTCGCGATCAACTGAATTCACTTATTAGAGAATCTGAATCTGCAATTGCCTCCATTATAAAAGCCCATTCTCCTGCTGACCAACTCAATGAAGCTGATCATGCTTCATATACTCCACAAATTGGAGAGCAAGTCCATGTCAAGGGATTGGGGAGTAAATTGGCCACAGTGGTAGAATCTCCCGGGGATGATGAAACAATCCTGGTACAGTATGGTAAAGTGAAAGCCCGTGTAAAGAAAAGTAACATCATAGCTATTCCATCTACGGCAAAAAATGGTGTAACTAGTTCTTCTGCACATCAGGGGAGGCAGGTACGTATGAAGATGTTTAGGTCTTTACCGTTAAGTAAATGTTCAATTGATATAATTAACCTGTTTGGAAAGAAAACAAAATGATATACTTTTCCATTTAGAAAGTGATTGGGCAAGCATTAATTAAAAGAGACACATTTGAAAATGGAAAATCTAGCTGAGCATTGAATCCAAATCTGTAGTTGATATGTTGGCATGAAAATTAAATTCTAAAGTTATGTCTTCTTTTCAGACCCAGACGTTTGGTAATACATTTTCTAACACTACTAATAATCAAAATTTATTAAAATTTATAAAATTGTGAATGAAGTTCATTAAATAAGAAATCTTAACTTACAAATTCTTGTAATTCTCATTGAATTTCAACTAATAATTATGAATGTATTAGAGAATATGTTGTTAGTAAACATTTCTATTTTTAATGACCTTTTTTTATCTGCATAGATTATGTCATTGTATAATCTGTGCTTTGCATTAATACTTTGATATGAATAATTTATGGTTAACTCAAAATGCCAAGTTATAACATTTTGATTTAATATTGTAGAGTGCGCGGAATGGAGAATACAGGGGTAATGTAGACATGAAAAGCAAGGATGATATTTCTTATGGTCCAGCAGTGCGTACATCAAAGAATACTGTAGACCTACGAGGTATGCGAGTAGAAGAAGCTTCTATCCACCTTGAGATGGTGATTAATACTAGTCGGCCATATTCGGTTCTCTTTGTTATACATGGAACAGGCACCGGTGCTGTTAAGGAGCGTGCACTTGAGATTCTGCAAAATCACTCGCGCGTTACTGATTATGAACCAGAAAGTCCAATGAATTATGGTTGTACCATTGCTTATGTCAAGTGAGGCAATAATCTATGCCAATATGAAACCTCCATTTTTGGGACTCATTTGATATGTACATTAAAACATTTTTTCTTTTTTTTCATTCTCCCTATATGAACATTTGGTAAGTTTGTAAAATTATTTAAAATTTTGTCATAATTAACAATTAATTTAATCTAATAAATTTTACTGATTGCATTTTATTTTGTACATATAATATAGTAAACTTTTTTTTCTGGCCATCTTTAAATAGAGGGGAAGAATAAATTTGACGGTGGCCATGTAATTGGAGTTGCTAACTTAAGACATTAACTTGACAATGACATATATAAATAGCAGAAATGAGACATTGATTCCATTCCAAATCTTCATATGCCCTATTAGTCAATCTCACCGTGAGGTATTGTCATTATTAATGACTTTGTTAATTCCTCTGATCATATTTGGTATTCACTTTGATGCATTCCGTTTGCGTTGTTTCAGGTGGGTCTGGCAGACGACGTCGTCCACGGTGCAAGGCAACACCACCACAACGGTCACCGCCATGCGTTTCGCCGCCGCCGTGATGACCCATTGCGCGAAGGACCGCTCCGGCGTCCGCGCCGTGGAGGAAGCAGTCAAGATCGTCGTCGGACCCGTCTACGAGAAGTTCCACCTCCTTCCCGACGAGCTCCTCCGCATCGCCCAAAGCAACCCCGACCACTCCGTCGCACCCGCGCACCCGCCTCCGCCGCCGAGGGCCGCCGCCGCCGACATCGCGAGGGCCGCTTACTCGAAGTGCGAGCCGGCGGCGAAGGGGCTGTACGGGCGGTTGGAGGTCAAGGCGGAGCAGTGCGCGGCGGCGGCGGCGTGGCGGCGGGTGGTCCCTCGAACGGTGAATTACAACGAGAAAGTTGTGGCGGCGGCGGAGAAGGGTTGCAGGGTTTCGGAGAGGATAGCGAAGATGTATAGTGAGAGGCGAAAGGGGTTTCATTTCCATGTACTATGCACTACTTAACCTCCTTTTGTGAATTTTTTTTTTTTTTCATGTTGCTCACTGCTAGGTTTGCCGGCCAATTTTGTGCTGTTTGGTTTTGTGTATTTAGTGTAATGAGATATTCAAATCAATGTCTCTAGTTTGGGTATATGTATACATGAATGAGTTTGTTGGGTACGAATGAATCGATGTTGCAATGCCTATTAGAAGATACTTTACGCCATCTCCCATAATTTAATTTTTTTTTTTTTTGAAGGGATTTAATTTGCTTCTTATTCTCTTCTTACATTCACCCTTGGTTCTGTAATTATAGAATTTTTTAACACTATTTTCTTAGTATTGAAAATATGGAAAATTAAATTTTAGAAGATTTTGAAAGTTTGGAAATTTAAAACATCTTTCATAGAAATTTTGGACTTCTCCCCTCCTTAGCGAGCGAGTTTGTTATTAATTTATTGGACAAAATTTAAAACATCTTTCTAGTATTGTTATTCAATTAAATTTAGAATTTCACTTCATTAACATATGTTAATTTTATTCAGGCGAATTACGTAACGAAATGAAATCTGAAGTCAAACAAGAAATTATGCCTACGTTTTCTCCTTATTTATTTTGGGTTTCATGATTATAAGAGAGTGAATTTAAAATAAAACTAACCTTAAAGTTGGTGAAAGGTACATAATGGTTTCGTTTGTTGTGATCTTAGTCTCATGAGACTTGCTTCATCTTAATCTTGTTAAGGATAATAATGTTCGGACTCAACAAACATCTAGCCCAGGGATTGTTTGTCAGAATTTAATATTTATCCTTCTTTTCTTCTCCAGTTGTTTCTGTTGTCTATCCAGATTTGTTTATTATTTTTAATGTCCAATCTCGTGTAAGTGTTGTGGCCTCCTTCCCATTTCCAAATTGCAATGCATGAAGAACTTCTTGGTGGGTGTGAAATATCAAACGCATGGAGGTTTTCAAAGATCATGGATTTGCTACCATTAGCATAATCTTCTGCTTTGAGTACTACCTATATCAACTTCTTGCATTTCTGATTTCTGTTTGAGAATGGGATTCAGGGGCGTCAATTAGTATATCAAATTACTGGTCTATTTTTTTTATTATTCTTTTAAACCAATGTGCTTATACTTTGCCACTCATGGATTGCTCTAAAAATGCATGTACAAATTTGAAGAGGAAGTTCAAAAAAGTCTACTTAGTGCCTTGTCAAGTATAAACCATTGCTATTCAATTTTATTTTTATTTTTATCTTTTCTACTGATCGTAACTTATCTTCCATGAAGTTGAAGGAAAATATTACGGATATACACTCATTAAGGCTATCAAAATATGAATAAAAAAGTGGAACTGTTATAATTTTCTTAAGAGAAGCACTACTCTCTAACACATTCTTAATTATTTTGACTAAAATTCACTGAAATTTACAAATTTCTGAGAGTCTCATTTGTCATTTAACGAATCTCTCTTGAATTTATAATTTTTAATAAATTTTAATCAATAGTATAAAATGTATTAGATAAAAGATTGAGTTGAGAGTACATTACTAACAATCCTTTTTGTATAGGTTGGAGATCAAGAACAACAATCATCATGAACCCGAGAATTAACCACATTTGTTCATAGCTATAGCATTCAACCTATACCTTTGAAACTTGAGCCAAGAGCATAAAAAATATGACAAACGATTTGAGTGTTCAACCCACCTAGCTAGTGCTATGATGGTGAAAGATCTATGCAGAAGTAGAAGTATGAATGTAGTAAGTTACTGAGGTGAAGAATGGAGAATACATAGACAACCTTACTATAAAGTAAAGCTATCCCGAGAGAAAAGTTACAAAGAGATAAGAAAGAAAACCAGGAAACTTAAAAAATGGATCCATTTAGGTGGAATTTTAAACCATCTATTTTGGTCCATATTATTAAAACTATTAAAAATTTCAAAAATGAGTGTTGAATTTCACACAAAACATACCTCCCCTCTTTGAAGTCTACTGTTGAAACAGAATTAGAATTTTGATACAGCAAATAGACATCTCATGAGTTAAAAGGAAACAAACACGAGTAGATAAGGCTACAGAGCAAGGTGAGGTCAAGTGAGTCAACCAAAACTAGAAATGCATTGCAGTACTAAATTTAACTCGAACAAAGAAAAGCAATCGTGTTGAAAGTTCTCCGCCGCAACACATTCAATTAGAGGAGTAATGAACAAACAACACAGATCAGGGATAAAGAGTATAGCGAGAAAGTCCTCAACAGTAAAACAATTAACATTTCGTGTTTTGAATGCATAAAAGTCTCACATTTCTTAAGAATTAAAGTTAAAAGATAGTTTATAACCACCCTCTCTTTTTAACTCATCAAAACATTTTTTCAATAATAAAATTGTGACGTCTCAATGAGTACCAAAGCAAACTAACGAGTCCAACTGACTTACTTACCGTCAGAACATGGAGTATTCATGTACTACAATTTTACTTGATAAGGAGGAGACACGAGGGGTATCCAGTATCAACTAAGGAGAATTGGCATTGGATCGAAGATGCTCCAACAGCTAAACAGGATCTGCCAATCAAATGTGGTGGACAAGAGAGAAAAAGGGGAACAACCAAGATAGGTTGAGGTTTGGTAATGAATATCTTGTGGATACTTTCCCTCTCTGGAAGTGCTTCTTTTATGTTACCACTATGGATATTTTTGTCTCTATAATTGATTCTTCTATGTCACTATTGTGGATATTTTGCTAAAAGAATCTCCATATGAGTAAAACCTATATGATGTACTATCAGCTTTGCCTACATCAACTTCTTACATTTCTAATCTCTGTTGATAATAGTATATATCATTACAAGTCTAACTTTTTATTATCTTTTAAAGCAATGTGCTTCTACATGAATTGCCACTCATGGATTGAGAGACAAAACAGTTACTCTAAAAATGTATACTTGGTGCCTTGTCCTTGCTATCCAAATTGCTTATATATCTTATCTACTAGCCCTCCTAACTTCTCTTCCGTGAACTTGAATGGAACTGCTATAATTTGCATAATTAGACCCTAAACCTAGAAAACAACCACATTTGTTCAGAGCTATAGCATTCAAACATATACTTTCCAAATTTGAGCCTAGAGCACAAACTAACATTTAATGTGAGTGTCCAACCCACCAAGCTAGTGCTATGATTGTGAAAGATCTATGCAGATGTAGAAGCGTGAATCTAGTAAAGTACTGAGGTGAAGAATGAAGAATATATAGACAATCTTACTTAAAATTTGACTTGGAATTTCAAATTATCTATGTTTATCCTACATATGAGTGTTGAATATCACACAGAGCGTGCATTCCCTCTTTGAAGTCTAGTGTCCAAACATACTGTAAGAGTTTCATACATGAGTTAAAAGAAAAGAAACAAACGTTTGGAGTGATGACATCAACTGTGGTCTAAATTCAGTTTGCAGTGGCTCAACACATGATCTGAAACACTCTCGAGAAGTTCATACGGTCTTGAAGCACGCAACATTTCCCAACCCTGCAAACTAGCCGCTTCTGCCAAATCACTAGACAAATCTTCCGCATAAATTTGAGAGAAACCATTATCATCACATAGCTTTTTAATACTTACATAATTAGAGCTATAATCCTGGATGGCAGTGCGGTGTACGTTATAAAAAACTGGTATGACAGTTCGTGCATACCTTGCCCGACATGCCATTATGAAGTGGAACTCATGCAAGCACCAATTGGTCTCAAGATAGCTTTTTGAAAACACAACGACCGAGACCTGAGCCTTACCAATTTCCTCAATCACGGTTTGTGGTACATGGTCCCCTGTCAGTTCCGGATGAGCATAGACTCTTAGTGATTTCTTAAGTAGAGCACAAGCTAAATATTCTGGAATATCGCTCGTGTCTTTGTCCCTGAAACTAATGAACACATCATACATCACTGGAGGGCGCAGTTCGGGGGGAACTTGGACCTCAGAGGCATTCCGCCGTCTCCCACCATTCTCTATCAGTGCCACGTCTGTTTCTTCCATGTCACCACCATCACTATCAGAATCTGAGTGGATGCGAATGTTTATAAGAACATAGCAGAATACTGCAGCAGCCAAAGCAAACTTTAGACTCCATTTCATGACAGCCAGCATGAGGGAACCCAGGAAGAAATTGAAGACACCCGCTTCGAATCCAAGGCCACTTAGTCTTGACAAGCTCAAGGACATGAGGGAAAATGATCCACATGAGACCAGGTTCAACACTTTATCAGCATCTTTGGCCTTTGTGTTTGCTTCTGTTTTGTCCATGTAAAAGGAGTAGACAGATGTAACCATGAGAACAAAGAAAAGTACATGCGCTGTTAACAGAGTGTTCTTTGGTAAACGCCATGTGGTGGTACAAAGCATTAAGCAACAGAGAAAGGAACCTAGCGCACAGTATATAATGAACACCAAGAACCCCAACTCGTGGTAGTTGAAGAGTTTGTTGAAAGGAGAGGACACGGCATAAGTGATGATTCCAACCAAAGATGATACAAAACCAATGATTCTCCATACAACCGTTGGCAAAACACACACACTACTCATCTTTAATTATGTCTATACCTTGGATGCAACGATTTTGACTTAATGGTATGGTTGTGAAGCAGGACACCCAGATTAAGATCTTGAGAATCAAGATAGAAATCTTCTAAGGATCTGGGTTTCCTTTACTTTTGCTAAAAATATTAAACTATGAGGTAAAGAAGGGGAATCTATATTGGGGTTGAACAGAGGGCACTTAAATTTTGTTGTTGAGACTGATTCCTTAAACGCTGTTTATCTTTTGAGCAAAAGAATGTGCTTCAGACTGATTCAACCTCCTTTGTCTCTGCTGGTATCAATTAGCTACTTTTGGATTGTCTCACGCAGAGTTTGCGCATTTTTTAATTTTTAATAATTTTTGTCTTTCTTTACTTAGGCTAACATATCTTGTTTATCCTCGTAATTTTAATTGATTGTTTTTGGGAGTATTTTTCTCCTTTTCAAAAATATCAAAGTAAAAGACAATCTAAACCTTCACCGGTAAACTAACATTAATTTATAGTTAAATGAAGTGGTGAACCTTGTCAATACTGTTGGATATCAATAAAAATAAATAAAAATAAAAAAAAGTATCTTAATGAATGAGAAATTAATTCAAAAGAATGTCCTCTCAAGATATTCAAAATTGCGATTAAAACAAATTAAAATAGCTCACAAAAATTAAGTAGCTACTGCCCCTAGTTTCCAAAGTCAAAAGTTCATGAGGTAAGCACCGAATTGATGCTCGTTTTCCCGTGTTTACACTGTTAGCATGTAAGACAGTGGAACCCTCCACCGCAATTTGGAGTTGTTAATTGTCTTCAGACGCTCCACTTACGTCTCCATTAAGTTCAGTTTTAAACAAAAATTATTATACTTTCTAGGTGGTCCATTATAAATAATTACGAGTGTTTGAATTAAGGTAAATTCTCTGAAGGATTACCTTGACAAGTGGGGTATGGGTGCACCATGACTTTTGACCATAAGCTTCATCTAAATAAATAGTATATTATACACCTTATTACACAGAATTAAAATTTCTAAATTTTTTTACTGAAATTTTTTTTTTTAAATTACCAAAAAAAAAACACGTGTTACGAGTACTGACACATCTGCTATTCACTTTCGGAACGGGCCATTCTGAAATCAGAACGGGCCGTTCCACATGCAAAAATAACACATCAATATTGTATCAGACGGGCCATTCTAGATGAAAAAAACACATGACGAAGGGAACGGAACGCCCGTTCCAAAATCAGAACGGTCCGTTCCAAATTCAAACATTACACATGACTAATTAAACTAGAACAGACCGTTCTGAATTCGGAACGGCCCGTTCTAACTACGAATTTTTCATACGAATTTTTTTAATTAAAATAATTTTTTTTTCATTCTACTAAATTACATATAAATCCTAAACTCTAAACCCAAAAAGTCTTATACTAAGGCCCATAATATAAGATCAAACAATATAAACTCCTATACTACCAAAAATATGAGAAAGGTGGTCATCCATGTAAAGTCCAAGTAAAGAGAATCCTAGGTCCACCAAATTCATTGGGCTCACTAAGCTCAGAAGCAATCAAAAGTTCAAAGGCCCATGAAGCCCAAAACTAGGCCCAATAAGCTTAAAACCCAAAAAGTCTTATACTAAGGCCCATAATACAAGACCAAACAATATAAACTCTTATACTACGAAATATACGAGAAAGGTGGTCATTTATGTAAATCCCAAGTAAAGAGAACCTTAAGCCCACCAAACCTATTGTAGCTCAGAAGTAATCAAAAGCCCAAAGGCCCCATGAAGCCCAAAACTAGGTCCAATAAGCTTAAAACCCAAAAAGTTTTAGGCTGATGATAAACACCCCTCCACTCTCGTATAAGCACACCCCTTTTTTTAAAAAAAAATATATAAAATGTCTAAATTACCCTTAAAAATATAAAATTCCTAAATTTACACCCCCTTCCCCGCACCCCCGGCCCCGGCTTCGAGCAGTTGATGCAGCAGCTCGCCGACAACGACCCCAACCGCTATGGCACGCCGCCTGCCGCCAAGGACGCCGTCGAGAACCTCTCCACCGTCACCGTCGACGATGACATGCTGAACTCGGAGCTGAACCAGTGCGCGGTTTTCCAGGACGAGTTCGAGAAGGGGTCGCATGTGACGCAAATGCCCTGCAAGCACGTGTACCACGGTGACTGCTTGATTCCCTGGCTTCGCCTGCACAACTCTTGCCCCGTGTGCCGATACGAATTGCCCACGGATGACGCTGATTATAAGAATCGGACACAGGGGAACGTCGGTGATGGGTCGAGGTCCAATGGGAGAGATAGTGGTGGCAGCGGCAATGGCGGTGCAGGTGCAAGGGGGAGTAACAGGCCTGTTCACAGGACTTTTAGAATATATCTGGGGAATCCTTTTGATACAGGTGGATCTGCGCACGACAGCGGTGAAAGGAGATGGAGGAATTTTCCAGAAGATATGGATTGAAGTTGTATGTGAGTAGTTCTTGTTTGAATATGGCTTTGTGTGTTTTTTATGATTTCAGTTGATAGGCATTCATTGTTTTTATTTTGATTTGAGAATGAGATATATTAGTTTTTGATTGGATTCATGATTCGATGTTCTGGTTCTATAGTATAATTGATAATCGATGACATTGAAGTGTGTGGGTTTTGGGGTGCGGGGAAGGGGGGTGTGGGGTGCGGGGAAGGAGTATAAATTTAGGAATTTCATTTTTTTTAAGGGTAATTTAAATATTTTATATATATTTTTTTTAAAAAAAAAAGGGTGTGCTTATACGAGAGTGGATGTGTGTTTATCATCTGCCAAAGTTTTATCCTAAGGCCCATAATACAAGACCAAACAATATGTTTCCTATACTACTAAATATATGAGAAAGGTGGTCATGTGTGTAAATCCCAAGTAACCTTAGGCCCACCAAATTCATTGGGCTCACTGAGCTCAGAAGCAATCAAAAGCCCAAAGGCCCATGAAGCCCAAAACTATGCCAATAAACTAGGCTTAATGGTATGGTTGTGAAGCAGGACACCCAGATTAAGATGTTGAGAATGAAGATAGAAATCTTCTAAGTATGAGGTAAAGAAGGGGAATCTATATTGGGGTGGAACAGAGGGTACTTGACTTTTGTTGTTGAGGAAAGGATGTGCTTCTCATCATGCGTGCTTCAGACTGATTCAACCTCCTTTGTCTCTGCTGCTGGGAATCTCCACCGGTTACGTTCTCATATTATGAAGTCAATTAAGCGCGGATCAACTAGCTACTTTTGGATTGTCTCTTTCTCCTTGATTAGTCAACTAAAAATGGATTAATTTAAATTAAATTTAAAAAAAAATTAAGAGAATGAAAATAAAAGATGGAAATAAGTGAAGGTATTTGATTAAGGAAAAAAAAAAAGATTATATATAATTTATTAAATTATTAAATCTCATGTGAAATGTAGTTAATAAATAATATTTAAAATTTATATATAACTAACATTTTTCATATTAATAATAATGAAAAGTGTACCAACTTCTCTGATAAGATGATAACCTAAATTTTATGCACTAATCTTGTTTAATAACGTAATTTCAATCATATATTTTATGTTATTGTCACATCGATGATATAAAATTAATTGAACATTTATATTATAGAGATAGTGTAACAAATTCATAGACCAAATTTACGTGTCATGTTAATTTAACTCACATGATAACTGTTATCATTACAAAACTAAGGAAAATTGACTGATGCAATTAATATGAGAAGGAGGGACACATTATATAAATAAAAGAAAGATTATATGGAAGGATTTATATAAATAAATACCATGGCAAATAAAGAGACGAGGAGATTCACTCCAACCTTGGGAGATAAGATTGAAGAACATTCTTACAAGATAAGTACTTGTTTTTGAATTTATCTCAATAAAAACAAAAAATAATATAAAAATATTCATAAAAAAAAAAAAAAAAAGTCTCGAAATGTGGTTGCGTTAATTAATTAAGTTAAATTTAAAGATAGTTATGGAATATAATAGAAAAGCACTAACTAACTACTTTATTCGTTTAAATTAAATTTAAAAATTAAGTAGAGTGAGTTGATAGAATAATTAGTGGGTGTGTATGGTTTTGAAATATGTAAAAGGAAGAGGTCTTAAAAAAAATTGTAAAGGGAAAGGGTGGTTGAGTGTGGCTACTGCCCCTAGTTTACACTGTTAGCATGTAAGACAATGGAACCCTCCACGGCCATTTGGATTAATATTTATTTGGAGTTGTTAATTGTTTTCAGACGCTCCACTCACGTCTCCATTAAGTTTAGTTTTAAACAAAAATTATTATACTTTCTAGGTGGTCCATTATGAATAATTACGAATGTTTGGATTAATGTAGCTGCATATTATTACTATACATCGGTGCTTACTAGGAATAGGATGGCTAAATTTAAGAAATGGTTCATTAGGAGAAGTATATGGAAAATTGTTTTTATTAAAAGAAATTATGAAATTACACATAAACCCCTTTCAAAATATTTGACTAAACAAACTTTTAAACTTTTCACTTTTTCTACCTCGACTTTAACCATCACTGCGACTTCGTATCAACCTCAAATTCGACTGCCTCATCGTCGCGAGGCTGTTTCCACCTCAAAGCCAACATCAAAATTCCCCCAACAATCTTGCATGGTTGTATCTAGGGATTTCAGGATCTCAAGCAAAAATTAAGATAGAAGCTTACGTGAATATAGTCTAATAATTTTTATGTTATTTTTCTAGCTTTTTGAGTTACAAAATTATTTATTAAAGTTTTATAATCAAGTAATTCTAACATCTCACTTTTAATAGATAATATAGTTAACTCATTCAATCTAGTTATCTTGTAGCATAGTTAATCTTAAATATAATTTAATCAATTTTAATTTTGAAAAATCTCTTTCAGCAGTCATAACAATTACAGGTAATGTTAATAATATTATATAAACAATGTATGTATTTGGAAAAGAACATGATCTTTTTATATAGTTCAATATTTTTAATGGTGTGTTATTTTCATTTGTTAGAATTTCTTTTAATAACTTTAATTCTGAAAACAAATCAAGACCATCAATATCATAATGGTCCTCAAAACTCAAAATCTTTTCAAGATTGATATAATATTTTTTCAATTCATCTTTTCCTAAAATTTTAAATTTATTTGAATCAAATAAAAAACCAAACATGTTTTCATATTCTAAAATAAAAATAACAAGAAAAATATTTTTAAAATTAAAAGAAGATAACAATGAAACAATAAAATCTAGAAAGTGAAAAATTATATTTATGAATGAAAATTTCTTTAAACTATGATTGTGCACTGTCAAAATCATAGTGACAATCACTTTGCATGCACCTACAATGATAAACAATAAAAAAAATGAGATCTAAAAATTGTAACTTGTAAATAAAAGTATTGTACTAAATTGTTTTTTCTCATTAATAATTAATTTACAATGTTTTAGAATGGTTGATCTTAACTTTTTAAAGACACGTGGGAAATTATGGAAAGAAGAAATTTTGTCACGATGACAAATTTCAATTTTAATAAAGGAGAATATGTGGTACTGATCTCCGGGATGACCCATGACAAATTCACAATGCAATATCATAGAAGTGTACTACAATGGATTGTCAATAGTGATAACTAAGAAAATGCGTTGATGTTATTGAACTATCACCCAGAATTATACTAATTTAGTAGTTTTAAGGATTTTATCGAGTAAGAATCAACCAAGAGAAAAGGCAGAGTAGAACTATATTGCTCCTAATCAAGCTCTCAAATTAGATGAAAGAAGGAATTGAGAATGAGAATGAAGAGAGAACGAGAAAAAGATAGACTAGAGAGAAACAAAGAGCTTGAAAATTTGTTATTCGTAAAAGACAAAAATAAGTAATAGTAACTGTTGAGTGTTGAGTGACTTTTTATTTACAAAAACTAATAAATGAGTTGTGATCTTTTAAGTAATTTTAATAATAAAAAAATAAAAGATATAAAAAATGTAAGACATGTGTCTTATAAAATATTGGACATTATCTCAAATGTTATTAATTTTTTAAAATTAATTTATATCAATAATTCTATTATTAGAAAAATTTGAAAAGTTTATAAGTTTGAAAATTTTAGACATTAACCTGGCTTATTGAATATCCAACGCAATATCTTGCTTTTATCTTCGCAGATAATGATCTTCTCGGTCCAATGATATAATGTACAATATAATATAAGTTTAATTTTATAAGTTATGTTTTTAGATGTGCAATAGTTTATGTTGAATCTGATTTGATCATTTTTTTAATACATTTGACAGTCGTAAATCCCTGACTCGTGGGTGGATCATACTCTTTAACATGGCAGTATCATGGTTCACTCATAAATCAGAGGGTCCACACGGTAGATTTAGCCTTATACAGAGCATTCTGATATTTGATCCTTTTTTACACCCACCTTAGAACGATTTTCAGCTAATGCTGCTTCTTAAAATTTTGAATGCTTCATTATACATGTATCATATTGGTCTCGGATTTTCATGTCAGAAATTTATTGATTATCAGCCTTATCTCAGATTTTATAACACTTATTTATTTAGAATGAACAAAGTATTTGATAGGACCAGGAGTTCTTGACCTTGATGAATACGTACCTCTGATCAAATTTTGGAGAAAACAATACTCGAGTGTTATATAAGAATAAAAGGTTTTTAATACATTTAAATGATCGAATATTTAACGATAATATTTTCTCATTTATAATATCTATATTTCACTTTTAGAACATACACTTTTATAAGGAAAAATATACCTCGGACACTCTAAATACTTGTCAACTTTAAGTATTGGAGACCTTTTTGCAAGCGTAACCACCGTTTGCAATCATGAAGGTTGAGAAACGAGGATCTCAGATTGAAAATTTTGGATAGATATATCAACAAGTATAATACAAATTTTAAATATTAAATTTTAAATATATGATACATTATTTTATAGATTCAAATTAATGTATAAAGTATTTTTATGATTATTTATCAATTTGAATTAATAAAATAAAGTATCAAATAATTTTTAATTTTTAAAAAAATTTATAAATTTGATCTATATATTAAAATACTTTTAATTTAACAATTAAATTGTTAAAATTTGACGTAAAAGAGTCTTGTAACACTACAAGAAAACCGTAAATAAGCGGCGAAAAATAAGCGTCGGTTAATAGCTGACGTAAATAATGTTGGAAAAGTCGACGTTATTTTAAGATGTAGCGTCAATTTTTCCGAGACTAATTTAATTTAAATTTAAATTAAATTAGTGTCGAAAAAGTCGACGCTATATTTAAAGAATAGTGTTGACTTTTTCGATATTAAACTTAAAATGTTAATTTAAATTTATTTTAAGTTTAGCGTTGAAAAAGTCGACGCTATATTTAAAGAATAGTGTCAATTTTTCCGACAATAAACTTAATTTAAATTTAGTGTCAAAAAAACTGATGCTATATCTTAAAATAGCGTCGGCTTTTCTGATAGTATACGTGCTTTGAGAGAGATAAAGATAATTTTTTCAATGTTATATACGCATAATGTGTTCTAGTACACTTGGTTATCAAGTTCACTTAAGACCTCAAGGTTCACGAATCGAGTCCCGGAAATGTTAAAAATATGAATGAATAAATAATAAGCTGGAAAAAGAAGATAAAGAAAAAAATAAAATAAATTTTGTGTTAACGTAGTGTCGGCTTAGCCAACACAAAAAAAATTGTGTCGACTTATTTAGCGTCCGACAAATAACTGACAATATTACGTCAGTTTTTATGATTTAGAGTCGGTTTTTGGCCGACTCTAAATCGGAACATAGTGTAAGTATATATGTGTGTGTATGAGGATAATCTCCTCAGTATAAGAATAAGTTTTAATAGATTTACTTCACTTAATACAAGTGTGCAAATTTTTCAAAATCATACAATACTTCATTATATATATTCAAATCAACATATAAAATATTTTTATAATTATTTGACAATTTAAAATAATAAAACAGAGTATCAAATAATTTTAATTTTTTTAAAAAAGAATTGTATATTTTATCTATGCATTAAGTTCTTTTAATTTAACTTACGGTTGAGTCGTAAAATTTAATATACAACATGAGATATTGAATGAAATAAGTTTACAGATATATAGAGAGAGATTCACTATATATAACCTAAACCCTTGGTATTTTTTTCTATTTTTAATAAAATGATTTTAATATTTCATATTATACTCTCTTTCATTTTAACTTTATAATAAATGCATAATAGTTTACATGTTTAAATTAATTAAAAACTATGTTAATTAGACATAAAGCTATAATTGATAATATGACAATTAATGTCATTTTGAAATTTGAAATAAAAATTAAATAGAAATAAATCCTTACTAAAAATCCAACAAATGAACCATTTCTCTGTAATTTAATTATAGAATCTTTATGATCTAAGGTTCGGTCTAGAAGATAATATTAGGCTTAATAACATTTTTAAATCTTCAAATTTGGGGTGTATATCTTTATAATCTTCCAAATTAAAAATTTGTGTTTTTATTTCTCAAAATTTATGAACATTTTGCAAGTTGTAATGCACAATTGCACATGATAATTCAGTCCTACGTGTTGGGATTTCTCTGAGCATCACCATAGTAAATTCCAAGCCTAATTTGTTTTTTCCCCATTTGCTGAGCAGTTCAGAACACTAAATTAACAATCGATCACAATTCACAAGGGTCCCACACACAATTGACAATATTTAGTTTTCGTTTTAAATGTTTTTCCATTAGAAATCTAGGGGCACTTTTCACCGCAAAATCTAGAGTTCACTTTTAGATTCTTAGTGAATGGCTATTTACTTCAAAGCACACTTTTCAAGTTATATATGATGCCCTTTCTGCAGTTGTTTATAAAAAAGGCATAAACATTACTCTTTCTGAAATTTATTATGAAATATTTTTAAAAGTAATTATATTAGTTGATTTTATTAAATTTATAAAATAAAGTAATAATGTAACTATTTTATCATTTTTAATGTATTATTAGATTTATAAGACAAAAGTCAAAATATTATTTAATATCAAAACTTATACTTCAATATTTAATGAGAATTTAAGAAATGAAAGAAAATATTTATTTATCAAATTCTATTTTCATAATCTTTAATATTCTCTCTAATTTATATATAAGAAAAAATAACTAATTTTATACGTATTAAGAAAGATAATTAATGTATTTAATTTTTAAAAATTCATATAAAATATACAATACATTTACTAAAATATTTTTAATCATATTTATAACAAATAATATTCTTATTTATTGTTTTAAATATATTTTTGGATTAAAAAATATTAAATAAAGTTAATTGAATTAGAATAGACTTATAATATAAATTCAAAAAAATTATTATTATTTTCTTATATATAGATCTAAAGAGAATAGAAACAAAACATGAAATATAAAATTAATATTTTATAAAAATTGTAAAAGTTTTATAAAAAGTATTACATTTTTATTTTCTGAAGTGTTTCTTACACTAAAGATAGGAAATAATAATTTATAATCAACTTCTTCTAGAAGTACAACTTCAGCCGTCGATTACATTCTAACAGCAAACAATTTTATCTTGATGGATCCTATGCGGTTGCCATACAACAAGCATCTGCACCTGCAGTTAAAATCAAATAGCCTCTCATTTTCCATTTTTTTTTAAATAAGTCATTTTGTACGTGCGGCTGAGATATCAGCACGTGCGGCAACTCCTTTAAATTCACTGCATGCCTTCTCACTCTTCACACACAACACAATCCAACATTGGTAGGGTTTCTCTTTCAATCCAATGTAGCCACACAAAAATCCTCTCCTCCATCTCTCACCAATTTTAATTTCTTCTTCATTCATCCATTTATCATATCTTATTCCTTCACTCTATTCTTCAACTCTCTCCCTTCTAGATCTTCTAGTACCAAAAAAATGGCCTGCATATCTTTCTCATTTTTATTCTGCGTTGATCCGATCTTGAATAAGGTTACCTCAATGAATTTTTCAACAACTGTGATTTCCTTAGTTAATATTCTAATCAAGTCTCTGTCTTAATGGTCACGAATTATTCTTTTTAAAATTAGGAGATTGGTGTGAATTATGGATGTGGAAATGATATTTGTTAAATGTAAAATTGGTGTGAATTATGGATGTGGAAATGATATTGTTAATTGTAAGATTGACATGAATTATGAATATGGAAATGATGTTGTAAATTGTATAATTGGTGTGGATTATGATGGATTGAGATATGCATGTGAAATGAGATATGTTAAATGTGAATTGAGATGTGAAGATGATGAATGATTGATATATATATATTACATATATATATATTATTAAATAATGAATTATGATGAGATTATATTGTGATGTGTTTGTATGTACTTTGCATATAGATATTTTCTTTTCTCACCGTATAAACTGTGGATATTTTAGGTGAAGAAGGTCCGGCTACGAGTGGCATCTAGAATGCCAACAGTTAAATTATGGGAATGCTCTGATAGTGTGACATCGGGGCAGAGGATTTCTAGGACAGAATATTTATACGGATTTGGTATTGTAATAAATGATTTTAAAATTGTAAACTCTTAAATTTCACCTTTCAAGTTTTATTTTTCAGTCATTCTCTTATATTGAAGAAAGAACAGATTTGAAGTTTTATGTAAACCATTTTACGAACCCTTTGGAAGTTTATTCTTCTTAATTAAATTTTATTATATATGTGTTGGGGTAGTAAGGGTGTCACACAATTTGTGCTATGTTATAAGAAAAAGAAGAAAGGTGAGTTTACGCATATTTAAGAAATTTGTTATCTACATTAATTTGTTTTTACTAATTTAATAATATTTTTTCTAAATTATTTTTGTTATAAATGCTAAAAAAAGTAGAATTATTAAAAAGTCATACATTAAAGGAGAGATATTTTAGAGAGTGACAAAAATATTATTATAAACATATACATTAGTTATAATAGAGTAAAAAAAATAATAAATTTATTATTGTATATATTGATTTATAAATGTTATCTAATCATCTTTTTCTAAATAAATATGACGATAATTTTAAAATATTCTTTAAAATATAAAAATAATAAAAATAAAATACATTTTCAACCAAATACAACCTGTTAGATAATTAGATTAAAAATAGGAATTGAGGAGGAGGAGAGACAGATTTTGTTGATGGAAAAAGAGAGAGAAAAATAGTGATTCATTTTGGTATAACTATACTTGCTGCCGGAACAGCTTCCTTTTTGGTTTTAGCAAAATAGTTCTCTCAATACATTTTGAACAGTTTGGGCAGTACAAATCATTACATGGAAGGCGATTAATCTCTATAAGTTGTGTTTCTAAGTTTTCTTCTTCTTTTTCTATGTCAATTTCCGTCTCTACAAGTGTTGTATCCATGTTTTCCATCTCAAGTGTTTCTTGTTGGCGTGTATTTTCCATCTCGGAATGAGGATCTGAGTAGGTGCGAATGGTTATAAGAATATAGCAAAACGCTGCAGCTCCCAAGGCAAAAACCAAATTCCATTTCATGACAGCCACCATGAGGGAACCCAAGAAGAAATTGAACACACCCGTTTCGAATCCAAGCTCACTTAATCTCGACACACTCAAGGACACGAGAGAAAATGATCCACAAGAGACCAAGTTCAACGTTTTGTCACCCTTTGTATTTCGTTGGGTTTTGTCAACGTAAAAGGAGTAGACACATGTTGCCATGAAAACAAAGAAAACTACATGTGCTGTCAACACACTCCTCCTCTTGTTTGGTAAACTCCATGTTGTCGAACAACAAAGCATGAAGCAGCATAGAAGGGAAGCTAGGGCACAGTATATGATGACCACCAACAACCCTAACTCACCGTAGTTGAAGAGTTTGTTGAAAGGAGGGATCATGGCATAGCTGGTGAATCCAACTAAACTTGATACCAAACCAATCATTCTCCATGCAACCCTTGGGAAACCACACACTCTTATTCTGCTCAACATTAACTATGTCTACACCTTGTAACCAGTTTGAGCTAATGCTAATCCTTTTCTTATAGATGTGAGACTTGGTTGCTCAAATCAAATCATAATTTATTGGAAATAAATTAATTAAATGCATGAGTGTTCCATGTGCATCTTTTTATATATCATAAATTACATGTGCCGTGCGGGGAAATAGGTCAACTGAAATCATAATTTGATTTAAATGTATGTGTAGGATTACTTATTTATATATATATATATATATATATATATATATATATA